TTAGAAATATGGTGGTACACGTGGCCTAAAGATCAAGTTTAACGTGTACCATGGCACGGAACAATGTATTAAACATTCCTATGCATGTATATTCACTTTCTCGTTCGAATAAACCTATTTATTAAACCTAATCCGTATACTCGCTTACGTACCCGTTATGCGTTATAAGTATAAAAAACATTCGAAGCAAGGATTTTGAGGATTATCTGGTACGTTTTACCTGATCAACCTGTCCAAATTGCTGAACCACATTTCAGCCTGTTGATAGTTAAAGTCTTCGCCCATTGTAAAGATAACGTTATTAGTGTTGTAGGATGTTGCTTGAAGATGCGCGTAACGCACCAACTGTTCGACCTGTTCAATGATCGCAATGCATTTTACTTACCGATACCAGATCATTCGACATCGTTACGATTACAAGAGCTTTCCCTTCCTTTTCCTCTTGCGTGCTCTTCGTATATGCATGTATGCATAGTCTTTCCCTACGTGTTTTACGCACGAAACGAAACTAACGATTTGACGATAGGAATGAAGGTACCTTATTAGCTTCTCCATATTAGCGAAGTACATTTCCGCTTGTTGATAAGTGAAATCTCCGCCCATCGTCAATATAACGTTGTTCGTACGATACGCTTTAGCTTGGTCGGTCACGTATTGTAAAAATGTATCGATCTGTTTTACGAAAGATATCGGTATCAGTCGAAAGTGATTCAACAAAGCCCCCGAGGAAATGAATTTCGTTATTCGCGACGAGACGTAATGAAATAATTAGTATAGTAATTTTAGTCGGTTAGAAACACTTTCGATTGTTAAATCGTCCGAGTAGACGAAACTAAAAAAATTATACGTATATCTATGTAGGAAGAAAGAGTCACGGCTCGGAAAAGGCTGGGAAATTATACGTTAAAAATTATACGTACTCTCTCTTGAACGTTATAATCTGGGCTGTTAATATCATCGTTTATCGGTTCGTCATTGCACAGGAGATCGTAACAAAAACCAGGGGGTGGGCTGTAATTGTTGTACAGTACAACCGTGAACAAGTTTGCACGTGATCCTACAACAAAGCGTAGCGTGTCTACATTTCATTTCATTGCATTTTCAAACAACTGTTGCACTACAACTACTACTGTGTGTGTGTATATATATATATATATCTATGTACCTATTGTAGATCATTGAAATTGTGTTTTTAAAATTTTTAAACGGTTTGGATTACCTAGGTTTGGACTGCCTTTCCAAATGAATTCCATCGATTTGTCGCTGAGCCTTTTCCTCTTGTCTTGATAATCGAGGCGAGCCAAGAACATTCCGTCGAATCCCAATTGCGCGAATAAAGACGCTTGTTCCCTCGAATGGCCGAAAGGATCTATTTGCCATCCTATATGTGGCCTGGCGCAACTTCCGAAGGTATCGTTAAGACGTCTAGAGACAGATTGGGAAAGTTCCAACACTTTTAATTTCGACAGTGAGACAACCAAACTAAGTACACAGTGCTCGTCACATTTCAGAATATTCGTCGTGTTGACTCTGAAGATTTCAACTTAGATTTTAACATGCCCTAAACGAATATAATATAATATAACGAGTCGAGTTGTACGCTTAAACATTTGTAATTATGTAGAGCGGTATCAGTGTTCTGGAAATGCCTAAATGGGCTATCAGTGTTGTCTCTATCAGCCAATGTCTTTATTCAAACATAGAGTTCAAACAAATGAAAATGATGAATATTCGTCTCTTTCGCACGTATCGTTCGTTCGACGAGAGTCTTAGAGAAAGAACTTTAATAGAAAATATAATCGAAAATTTTGTTTTCACCTGAAACCCCAAGTGTATTGATCCACGAGGGAGTGATAGTGGGTGACTGCCTCGTCGTTCATGGTCCATCCACCACCGATTATTTCCAATCTGCCTTGATCGACTAGATTTCGCACATTTTGTTTCGTCTCGTCGTTCTGGCGCAGCCACCATTTCCACAAGAAAGCAGTTTCCACGAAAATAAATCTGATGGGATGGGCACGAATTATACATCATACGTGTATGTAGAGAGAGACTGTTATTTGTTTCATCGTTGGATGTGATTGGCACTTACTTTCTTTCGGGATTAGCCAGCAACGCTTGAACAACGCTGTCTAGAATATACTGGACCCCCGCTTTTTGAATTCTTGGCCGACCTTTGTTTCGCAAAAGAAATGAACAATGAAGAAAAGTCAGAGAAGAAGTCTATCGTATGAAGAAGTATGTTATAAATTCTACTGATGACGGTACGCTGATCCTTTCAGTACAAGTGAATGTACTTACTTCCAAAGTAATATTGGTCGACCGTTTTCAACCAACCAACGTCATCGTGAGTATGCGCGACCAAATGAATATTCAGTTTCTTTGGATCCGCTATGGGGCATGCCTACAACGTGCGTGAATCGGAAAATTATTTTATTTTGTTAACGTGTCTTTCTAGAGAAGAATATACAGAAACTGTAACTATTAACACGTTCCGTGCCAAGCCATTTGATATTTTGACTAAAAGTTGATATATCATCGCACAATCAGTTCTCTTGTTTAGAGTAGC